CATAATTATATAGACTCATAAAAGGCCGTTTGCTGAACGGACAGTATACCCAAACAAGTCATTAAAGTAAATCTATAAAAAAAATATTGCATTTAAGATGAAAACCCTTCTCTGTGTGTAAATATGTTTTAAAAATGTGAACATGTATTTTTAATATTGTATATAAAAATCTTTAAAGTGGTTCAATAAAAATATCTGCATAATGTGATTTCTTTTTTTTGTCTGATTAATTGATAGACCATCACAATAATCAATTATTAAAATAATCATTTACATTTGACACTTTTTCAAAAAAAAACTCACGGTACCAATATAAAACTACTCATATTTTTATGACAGGAGAAAACTTGGCGAGCTTGACAACATTCAGCGATACTTCAACCGTAAGCTATCCACTCCTACTTTCCCGCCTGCGACTGAACAAGATGGCCACAACCAAGACGTGGATCGGGGGGTGTTGGAGACCGACACGAGTCAGCTGCTCCTCAAGTCCAACCAGCTTGTTGGGGAAGTCAACAACATCATCAGTGGTGAGCTTCTTCCCAAATATTAAAAATATAAAAAGATCGGCCAACCGATTCTGATCCAATTTGTATTTGATTTTTTGTTCCATAAAAACAAATGTATTACAAAATACCAAGGTAAAAAGTTGGAAAAAAAGAAAAAACAATGTTTATCCTACATAATAAAAACAATACCCAGCAGTTATGACTCAAACATTTTACAAAGCACTGCACAAATGAGTAAGACATAACAACAGATATACAATAAATTAAAGCTATAAAACATGCTTTAAAGCTGCAGTTTGTTACTTTTATTATTTTTTTTTACATATTTATTGAAACTGTCTCTATGTTGTGACAGTCTGGTACAAGACGGATAGACTGGGAAAAAAATTTGAGTTCCACTGCCTTCAATCAGCGCGAACTAGAAACAACCAATCAGAGCCAGGAGGCGTTTCTTGGCGCAGTCAAACAAGCCCGATTATATGTCTCATATTATACTGTTTAACAAATATGTTTGCATTAAAGTATAATTATTTACAAAATAATACAAAGTTGGCGCTTATAAGGGATTTTTATTGCAACTTTTAGAGCAACTTTGCATTAAAAGTGTCATTGCTTACCAAATAACATTTTATGACAACAGTCATAGATATTCATAAAGAGTCCTTCATGTTCATGACAGTGTCATGTCAGTCTTATGAAGACCCTGTTAAATAAAGTGTTACCCATTTTTAAAAAATAAAAGTTACCTACTGCAGCTTTAATACAGTTATGCAATAAAATATTAATGATAAATAAATTGGATAATATTTTTAACATCAACCTCTTTTATCAAACCACATCTGACAACAGAAATCAAAATTGTGCAGTTTTGGTTTTTCTCTTCTCTCTTCATAATTTGGCTCGTCTTTCAGGTCTACGAGGTCACTTCCTGGAAGCGATTCCTTCCAACACTCAGAGCTCATCAGACTCACCTGTTGAACGCAGCAGCCCTCGGGCCAACCCAGACAGCAAGTCCAGTCCAAACAGAGCAATTCATAATCGTTTGGATGTTGCATCTCCGCTGCCTGTCGATACGTCTGAGGACGACACCGACTCTGACCACGACGACAAAAAGGACGAGCAAAGCAGCCAGGACAACCTGTCACAGGACGAACACCAAGAGGATTTTAGACAGGACGAGGAAGCTGGCGATGATGATAATGAAGAAGACGACGAGGATTTCGAGGAGGTGGTGCTGCAGCCCAGGCCTCTGAATGAGGTGACATCGCTAACAGACAGAACCAGTCCTTGGACCAGCATCCTGTCAGACCCTGACCTGGTTTCTGTAGAGAGCATAGAGGATCAGAAGGAGTCAGACATGAGTGAGAATGAGGACAAAAGTCTGGAGGAAAATCGAGACGGCTGTCTTTCCAATGAGAAACGCACGGACAATGTTCACCGTACAGAGAGAGACGATGACAGGATGCTACAATCCGGCCATCAGACAAAGGAGTCAAACAGCCGCAACAGTTCAGATGACGCATCATCATCTCCACAGCCTGCCGCTGACACACACGGTGCTTCAGGAACTCAGGACATGGATGAAAACCAGCTCCAGACGTATCCTTAACCTAACCTAAGATGGCAGTCTTTGAAATTGAACCGGTTTGATTCCTGAATGGGAGCTGGAAGTCGAAAGCGACTCCAAGGTTGAGTGTGTGAGGAGGTTACTGGCCATTTATCTGTCGAAACAGAGTTTTCAAAGAGTTTACTTTGATAATTTAATTTTTACATAAACATGTACTTTTCCTAATCACTTCTATATGCCACCATTTCAGAGTAAAAGCCTTTTATAAAGCTCAGTGACTTCAATAACTTGTAGTACATTCCTTTTTCAAATTTGATTCTTAATTTTTTTTAAGTCTAATTTAACCAAATTAGTTTAAAGGCTTTAGCATTTGAAAAGTTTTAGACTTTGTTTTGAGCACTAATGAAGATTTTATATTCATTTATAACAGAGACATAGGACACTATCTTTAAGTCTTGTTGTTTTTTTTAAACTTCTTACCTTAAGCTCATTGCCTGTGGAAGTTCCGAATTTCTTCCTCCCATCTCACCAACTGGAGGCGTCACTGAGAGCCATCCGTTTAGCTCCATCCTTCTCTAACACATCTTATGAATCTGTAAGTATTTTATAGCTTTATCTCTGATATTAAAGCCTTTATTGTTATTCGTATTGGTATTGGTAGTTTCTGGTACTAACGTTTTAGAAGTTACGGTTTTTGAAATCCTCACAGTTGTCCTGCTCATCCCAGAGTCTCAAGTCTATTTACTGATATATCAAAGAAAATATTGGAGTTTTCTGCAGCTTAATGGAGAGTTGTTGTTGCTAATTGTTGCTGCACATGGCCAGTTAAGTCAATTAATAAACAATATGTTTAATTAATTTATCAGCAATAGAAACATGTTGCATTTTTCTGTTTTGAATAAAAGAAGTAAAATTATGTTAAATTTGTTTTTTTATTTCTGTGTAAACACCATGGAACTGATTTCTACTCAAGGTAAGCATTCCAGCCCATACATTTCTCTAGGCCTAAAATTGTATAGAGTTTTTAGTTGCATTCAAATTATTTTCCAGAAGTAAATGAGAACCAATTTAGTAATATTTGCAGTTTTTAAAAATATACATATGTGGACAAAATTGTGGGTACCCTTCTGCTAATGACCAAAACTCCCAAATTAGTCACAGAAATAACTTGAAATTGACAAAAATAATCATAAAGAAAGATTTAAACACCTGTGGTCAGGTGCAGAAGTCTCATTGACTGCTACAGAATATGTCAATGAGCAACAAAATGTGAAATTACAGGTACCATCATTTTTGTCTAGGCCAGTTTCATTAGTTTTTGTTTTTTTAACTCTGCTGTTGAACCACAGTTCAAAAGCAATGTCTGATTTTCATTGGTTAATTTTCAACAAATCTTTTTATTATAATTGCTTTGTCAGTTTCATGATATTTCAGTGACCATTGTGGGGCTTTTCAGTCATTAACAGAGGGGTACCAACAATTTTGTCCATTTGTCTCCCCACTGGCTACTGCTGTTTATCAGATTGGGTTTATCAATGATATAACAGGAGTCGAAACTTTATGTAAGGCTTTGGAAATTTTGAATTTCGACAAACAGTTGGCAGAATTTTGTTTAAATTCACCTTTGCTATGCTACATAAAATACACAGATAAATTATAAGGTGGCTTTTTGGTGCACTGATAAAGCAGCTGAATCTGTTACATAGTAACAGAAGTTAGTTACTACAGTAACGTTCTTGCTAGAGTGAATGCTGGGAATTTAAGCCTGTTACTCAGTGTTTAATCCATGACTGTTTTTGTGAGTTCCACACATACAGCGTTCAGCAGCAAGTCTTTCATGTTAAAAAATTTAAAGAATGACTCGTTGACTTAGCAGGGTGACGCACCACAAGCACACAAGTCATTATTTTAAACTCTTGACATGCAATGACATGTCCCTGATTCTAATGTTTTTATGATTGAAGATGTATTTCTGTGTGATATTTCCAGGGTCAGAACTCCTCAGACCGCCGCCGCGTTCTCCCTCGTGGAGGTCCCCGTCAACGGCCGGACATGTCCCCTCCGTCCCTGAAGAAACAGACGGACAGAATCGCAAAGATATTCGCAGCTCGTTTTGATAAGTCCAGTTAGCTCAGTGGTTTTACACCACAATAATCATGTAAATTAATTTTTATATTTGTTTGTTTTATAAATAAATATTGAAAAATGTTCTGCACTTTGAACCTTTTGTGTTTTTTGAACTTGAGATTTAGTGAATGTTACAAACCCTAGATGTAACCAAGCAGATGTTGTGGACGAATATCTGCATGGTAGACATATCTATACAATTTTGTTGGAAGATTTGGTAAAGATGTGTGAAAAGTTTAAAAATAGATTAATCTTCTATTGTACTAATGCACAATGTTGCAAATTCAAGGCCCACGGACCAAATCTGGACCGCCATATCTACCAATGTGGCCCTCTAGACCTCGGAAGGCCACCAAAATAGAAGTATTAATAGTAGTATTATGTATTTACCAGGCATGTTGTGCCATCTTATTAGCATCATCAACTATGTTACCTTCATTTGTTGTAAAATTGCTCTACATATGACTTGAAAGAAATGTGTCTTTTTAATTGAATGCCTTGAAATTGGGCCTCTGTCTCTTTAAGAAACTCCTGCTCTTTCTGAAACTCTGCCTTCAGAAAGCCATCATAACATTGCTCCTTTTAACGTTTTTTCCAGCTACGAGAATTAGCTCGTATATTGACTGAAGCAGCTGTGCCATTCCACCAGGTGTTTGCTAATGTCAGCTGGTTAGTCTGAAGGAGGAGATTGGAGGTGTCAGGTGAGGGCTGCTCTGTGAGGCAGAAGCTCCGAAGAGGAGCTGCGTACTCGAAGGCGGAGCTAGATCCAACCAGACATTTAGCACAGCTGAATGGTTGCTATGGGAGACTAAAGAATTTCTCAAACATTTATGAAAAAAACAAGGCAAAACTCCAGGTATGTTTTTGATGGGGTAATAACATAAAGCATGATGTAAAGATCAAAAAAGTCAATTTTACATCATACTTTAAATATGGAAAAATGTTAAGTAATTCCTTTTCACAAAACCACCTTTAGTACCTTGACATATTGTTTCACCTCCACTCCAAATGCTTCGTACGACACAAGTTTGCCGGTAGAGCAGCACTGGTCTTCTCCTTACATTCCTCTTGGCACAATTTCTTTACATGGTTCAGATCTCGATCATCTTCAATGCTCGTATCCATAGTTCTCTTCAGCTCTTGTCACATATCTGTTACCAGATTTAGAGGGCTGATATCAAGGGAAAATGTTTTTTTTTTTTCTTTTTGTGGACTTTCAAAGAGAACCACAGCACTCCAGAACTGTGAACTACCCAACGGTGGTCTTAAAAACTCACCCACATATTTTTTAAAAAATTCAGGGTTGTTTTTTTCCTCTCTACCTCTGAAAAAAATTGATTTAATTAAAGGTTTGATTTTTCAATATCTTCTAGAGTGAAGTTATGCAACCATAGTTGCCATAACCTCAGTAATTAGTCATAATAAATTAATTTTTAGCTTCTGTAATTATTGCATTTAAAATTGAGTTTATATTGAGCTGATACTCCAACCTGCGACAAAACATTTCTGGTTTAAACCAGCGTGTCACCAGTCAGACCAGCTGTCAAACCTTTGCGTCATCAAGCAGGTGAGTTGGGTGTTAAAAACACGCCCACCGGCAGCCAGACGGTTGCTATTTTGTTCAGGCGTGTTCTGCACACTGTGTTCATTTTGTTTGTTTTTCTTTTTCTTCCTTTTTTTTTCTGGAGAGGCAGTGCAACAGTCTCAGAAAAATCAGTTAACACCGTCCCATCAGGTTCTTATGCCCGGGCATCTGATTTTATCTGTTCGCCTGCTTTCAGTTCTAAGTCGCAACAAGTAATGGCACAAGAAGAGAACTCTACTTTAATAAGACACATTCTGTTTATTACCTGGAACATGATTGTTTGCTTCAATTTGTTATCGGTCATAAACTCCTGAAAGGATCCGGTGTTAACTTCAGATTTTGGGATGACTGAAAGCTTTGGATTGATTTTTGCTTTTTAAAGACTGCATTGATCCTTTACCGTTTTGAACATGGCAGGAGGATCAGCAGCTGACTTGGCACCTACAGCTGCTGTCAAGATTTTTTCAGCTGGAATAGCTGGCTGCGTGGCTGACCTGGTCACCTTCCCGTTGGACACCGCCAAAGTACGACTGCAGGTAACAAAAAGCATCGCAACCAGGACATGTGGAACGGGTTTTACTGTTTCAAAAACATTATTTACTGCTACGCTCCTACACAGACTTGTAACTCTCCATAATTATCAGTACAAGCCGAAGTGACTTAAAGTCATTCATTATCTTTAACTTTTTATCCTTAAATTTGATCGGATTCAGGATAATAATAACAATAAGGTACTAAAAGATGAAAGTCCTTGGAAGAGTTTGCAGATTTGGATTTGATGGTTGTGTATTTCAAAAGGCATAGTTTGCCTCAGCATTTGAAACAAATCAAGTGCAATAGTTTTGGAGAAAGCATCTATTTAATGGTCTTCATGCAAGATTTCATCAGCTTGTCACTTTAAAGTTAAATACAAGGATTTGTAAAAGATGCTGTTTTATTCGTAATCTTTAAGAATTTTCCTTTAGCAAGACAAGTTACAGATGAAACTAGAATTCTGTCTAATTCTAGACAGAATTCTCGTTTATTGTGCATTGTTAATGCACAATTAACAATGTGCATTAATAATGCACATTGTTGATTAATGTGCATTGTTCTTACCAAATAAATTGAATTCAACTTTTTCAGTCATTATTATCCACTTCATGTCATCTCATCTTATAAAATAATCCCAGACCAACAGTTTTCTGAATCTTGTTTGGTGTTATTTTCTATGGGTTAATTGACATAAAATTAACTTTTTCCCTTTTTTTAGGCTTTAAGATGTTTTTTTTTTTTCTTTTGCTCCAACCTTTCAACTGTTGCTTTCACACGAATGAAAAATACTTCTATAAAGAATTATTTTCCCCTTTTTTTAAGAAAAACTCAGTTTCTTTTGTTCATCAAATAAAAACTGATAAGTGTGGTGCGTTTATATTCCAATCTCGTTACCTTGCTTGGACCAAACCTACCAAGACAATACTGCTGATTTAAGCTGACAGGCTGGGAACAGAGAACAGCAGCCAAGAGGCCTCTTATAATTAGTTGGGATTATCTGTGTACAGGAGGACTATTAGTAGAGTATGTTACAAATCTGGTCTTTAGGTTGGGCTGGAGAAGAAACAATAGTCAGAGTGAAACAGGGTGGTGGCAGAATCATCCTGTGGGGATGCTGATAAAAGACCAAACTGCTGGAACCTTTAAAAGCCTTCAAGCTAAAGCAGGATGACACTAAACATATAGATTGAACTAAGGTGAACTAATTTACATCAAAGCATGTAAATGGCTTAGAATGGCTTAGTCAAATCCCCATATCTAAATCCAATTGAGAATCATTGTCAAGCATTGAAAACCTTTAGTTCATAAATGCTTGCCATTCAATCTGACTGAAATGAGATATTTCAATAAATTGTTTCTTTTGTCAAAATGTCTGAAAACCATAAATGATCTCATTCTGTATGTAGGTTTTCACATAAAATCTCTTTAAAATACTTAGACATTTGTGGTTCTTAACGTGACAAAATGCTGAAAAACACACTGAATATTGACACGTCTAAAAGCATTCTAAGTATAAATCTCTTACTCTCAACAGTTTTTTTTTTATTCATTTATTTTTTTTTACCTGTAATATTTATCCAGGTCCAAGGAGAATCGAAGGACCTCCCTAAAGGCCAGAAGGCGACGTACAGAGGTGTATTTGGCACCATCATCACCATTGTGAGGGCCGAGGGGCCGAGGAATCTGTACAATGGGCTCCTGGCGGGGCTGCACCGTCAGATGTGCTTTGCCTCCGTCCGGATTGGTCTGTACGACACCATGAAGCTGCTTTACGCCCACGGAGCAGAGAGTATGTGCATTCTGACCAACACCACATGCCTGGGGAACCTTCAACAAGCTTCAGCCACGAACACTTTGAAATAACAGTCAAGGTTTTGGATTAAGTGTAGTAGTGTTAGGCTTTCAGTGTCGTACTTTCACGGTATAATTAGAAACAAGTCAGAATTACCTTAGCTTGTTGATGCAATAGCTGCACCAAGGAAAGACCTATCTAACATGTTGAATCTTCTGAAAATCCTGAAAAGCTGTACAGTACAATCAGTGTTTCTCTTGTTGGTGTCCAACAAACTGGTTTATGCTCAATAAAAACCACAGCATGAGTTCGACTGGCAGGCCAAGAAGAGCCAGTAAGACTGGCTCTGTGTGCCTGAACTGTCAAGTCTGGAAAGAGGAATTCATGATGTTACATGTAGACAGTAAAACTTTGACAGCAGATTTCATGGCCAACCCTACAATGACTTGTTTCTGTAAAGTTGCCTGTAGTCGCTAGTTGTCACAAAATGCTGTGTGACAGATCCTGGACTCGGGACCCGACTGCTGGCAGGCTCCACCACCGGAGCGATGACGGTGGCTTTTGCTCAGCCCACCGATGTTGTAAAGGTCAGATTCCAGGCGCAGGCCCACCAGCCAGAGAACGGCTCTGTCAAGAGGTACAGCAGCACCACCGATGCCTACAGGACCATCGCCAGGGTGGAGGGCCTCAGAGGGCTCTGGAAAGGTATTTTCAAAGTCAAGATCTGTGCATATATACCAAACAGATGTTTCGTTTTTTATCTTAAATTCAAAAAGCATATATTTTTGAACAGTTTTAGCTTAATTACTGCTTTAATTTCTTTCAGCAAATGGACTTATTTTGAGTTTGTGTGCTGCATTTAATGATAAACCTATTACTAAAATAGTTAATGATTATTTTGATAACCAATTTATCATAATTACTATTAATGGTTTCAGCTCTATCCACAACACTTTCAGTTTGTCAGAGCATTCCTCCTCCCCCATTCTACTAGGATGTATTTCAAGAACAGGTTGAGCTTTAAACCCTCACTGGGTGCTAGACCTAAAACAACATGCACTGATCATCATGCTTTATCTATTTACACAATGCATAGATTGTGCATTTCAACTTTCTCAAAACGGTGGGAAAACTCTCCTTCTATGTCATGCATGTTTAAAGGCAGTATTATGTGTTTTCCAGGAAACATAGCACCATTTTATAGCACAATCCAGTAACTATGTTACCTTCAGTTGTTATAAAAACACTATATATATAAAAAATATGACTTAAATGAAAGTTTAGTTTGTAATTTAACACCTTGAAATTGGACCTCTGTCTCTTTAAAAACCTCTGCTCTTTCTGAAACTCTGCCTTCACTGAGTTATCACAGCATGGCTACTACCAGCGTTGCTCTGAGAAGTAGCTCTCATGAATCAAAAGAGATACTTTATAAGCTACTATCATAAGTTATGATGAGCTTAGCAGACTCATAGTTTGCTAATTGCTGCTAGCTAGTCTGAAGGAGCTGCATCTTGAAGGGTGCTCTAGGTCCACTGAAACATTTCGCACAGTTGCCATGGCAGATTAAAGGATTTCTCATAACATGCATGAAAGAATCAGAGCAACATTCCACTTATGTTTTTGATGAGGGGAAACATTAGAACATGATGTAAATACTGCCCCTTTAACAGCAATGTGCCATGATGTACCTGGCAAAGACCCTCCAGGTTCTTGATGACGATGTTTTGAAGTCATCTTAGCTGCTGTTTCTTTGGCCTGATTCACACAAACTCATGCTGGTCTGCTGTTGGGTCTCTATTATTGTTTTTCTAGCTTATTTGTAATTTCTGACGGTATAACGTTTGTTTTTTTCAGGCTGTCTGCTGAACATAGCTCGTAATGCCATTGTGAACTGCTCCGAGCTGGTGACTTATGACATTATTAAAGAGCAGATCCTGAAGAACAAACTGATGACAGGTAGGGTCTCCCCACACCCACACATGTTGATCCCTCTCCGGTCTTTGTGGTCTTTAGCAAAGCGTTCTCTGCGGCGTTTTTGTCCTGCAGACAACATGCCGTGTCACTTCACTGCCGCGTTCGCCGCAGGTTTCTGCACCACCGTGGTGGCCTCTCCGGTGGACGTGGTGAAAACCCGCTTCATGAACTCCGTGCCCGGGCAGTATGGCGGCGGCACCAACTGCGCTCTGACCATGCTGTTTAAAGAGGGGCCCTCGGCTTTTTACAAGGGGTGGGTGTCGTCGTTGAAAACCACGACACCCAGTCCAGCGGCTGATTTATCTCAATCTTTCCTTGTAGCTTCATGCCGTCGTTCCTTCGCCTGGGGTCCTGGAACATAGTGATGTTTGTCAGCTATGAGCAGATTCAGAGGGCCGTGGTAAGACTTCAGCGGTCCTGGGAGTCTCGCTTCAGAACAGTTTGACTGAACGAAGCTGTGCAGCTGGATCTGCAGCAGCGCTGAGAGTGAACGGCCAATCTGAACCTTGTACCTCACCAGAGTGGGCAAGCTGCAGGTTTGATTGATGATTACTATTTTAGGTAATAATCGGAAACAGTCGTTTGTTTTTCAACTGAGATTTATCATTTTGGAGAAACTCTGACTCTAAGAAACTTATTCTCATTTTGGTCCCAAATCAAGACCATGAATGTCCTCACGGCCGGTTGTGCCAGAATGTATTGATAAAACCCATTTACAAACTTTTCAAATATCAATAAATGTCAGTGTCAATATGTGTCTTAAAGTTAAATAATGATTTTTTTTTTTTCATGTTGATCTCCCTCGGTAGGATTTCATAATTAGGCCCGAGCAGCTAAGCGCTGCGAAGGCCTATTGTCATTGTTTTTGTAATTTTTCGCCATCAAATTCACAGATTTGATGGTGCTGCTTTAGAAATATTTGTAAATAATTTAGTAATATTGGTGCTTATGTATGACTTCAAATGTGACTCTTCATTACTTGCCATATCGATTATGAACTGTCACTTGACATCAAGTAAGGCTGAGGCAACTGTGTCATAAAAGTAAGAAATGCTGCCACCTTCAGGTAGCAGTGGCTTCAATCCAATGTTTTTGACTATTTTTGTAGAAAATTTGCAATAAAACTCAGAGTTTTCCTTTAGCCCAAAAAAATGTGGTGATCTGTTGATTGGACATGGATTTCTGTGATCACTGAATTATGAAAAACTGGAAGAAATGATTGATGTTCTTTGGAATCTAACGTCTGGACGGCCAAATAATAATCTTAGTAAAAAAGAATAAAGAATTGAGTATCTTAAGCCGGAATTTTAAAATATTAAAGTAAGCATGTTAGCCCAGTTAAAATCTTTCTGAATCATTTTTTTCTGATTCTAAAATGACACAGACATGGAATATTTCAGAGTATATTTACTTCTTCAAGCTGAACAGGATAACAACGGGTTCTGATGTTAAGTGCATTTTTCACATTTTGTACCTCAGACCTCATGAAGAATTCAGCAAGAGGAAGTTCTTTTAAAAAAACTAAATTGTACATTATGTACATAAGAAAAAGAAGTTTAAAATTGCAATTTGCTGCTTGATGTTGATCCTTTTTTTGCTAAAGAAACTGTTTCAAACTGTTTTTGAAAATGCAAAAATAAACAAGACTAAAGATATGTGTTGGTCGTTTTCTCTGGCTGTATAGAAAGTAATAGAGCACTGTTGCTATGCACTCCTATATATAGCGAGACACAGTTATATTTAATAAATTGGAATATACATTCTGTTGAGTTTATCAGATTAAACATATCATTTGAAATTAACCTCTAATCAGATATTAAACATAAATTTTATTAATCTCTTTCATAATTAACAGAGTTAAAGGCTAGAAAACATCTGTCTGGTGTAATAAATCTATATAATGTGAAATGAACTTTTCCATAATATCCTAATTTACTGAATCTGACTGCTATGCCTGAAACATTGCTCCTTTAACTTTAAAAAACTGTGCTGATATGTTTTATTTGACTCCAGGCCTTTTCCCTCTGTTTTTAATATTTCTTATTTTTACAGCTGGGCCAGACGGTTTTAGACCTCATGTTTTATCCTGAAGCAGGGAAACGACCCACATTTCTTTAATGTGACACTGAAAACATCCTCTAATTTGTGGAGTGATCCGATGATAGAATGGTAATAAGTTGACCCTATTTTCAACATTTGAGGGGCTTATCGGGGAAACAGCACTGCAGACAGACATGCAGAATTAAAAGAAGGGTTTGGGGTTTTCCAACACAATAAAACACAATTTTAAAACATGTAAGCATTGTAAAATAAGAAGAAAAAAGACCATGGCTTGTCTCAAAACTTGCATAGTTTTGCTGTGAATGATTTTTCTAAGGTCATTCAGATTTTACGACGTCACTGCAACTTTGCACCTTCAGATTTTAGTTTTTGAGAAAGACAAATAACTTTTTAACTAGTTTTGAACTGAACCCAACCAAGAGAAATGTGCAAAATCATTTTTCCTTTGAGACAAAAGCACAGACAAAAGGCAAGAACTGATCTACAGGATAAAGATTCAACATAATGAGCCTGGTGGATATTCACCTTACAGTCCTGGTGCAAAATAGTTCAACAATAAAGCTATTCGCCAGTATAACTAAGCAGAGCTCAAACTATTAGAGCTTAAACTAGTCTACTGGAGGTGATTTTAAACCAACATGGAGCGTTATTGTGAAGTGAAAGAAAAATAATACCAGTTTTAGTGTGTTTGTAAAAGGAAAATACAAATCTGAAATGTGTGGTGTGTATTTTTATTGTTCAGTGGACCAGCGGGATCAGCAAAATGCAAAAAGCGACAACTCAACCACAAGCCACAAAATCCAAATAGAAGCTGCAGTGTGTGGAATTTAGGCACAATCATCATGTAACATGTTGTTTAAAGAAAAACTAATTTCCTTAACATTTCATATGCTAAAAATGTAATAGTGAACTAAATTACATAAAGGACCTTGCTTTTATCCAGTTTCATGCAGTTAATGCAGAATAATGTAAGACAAAACTAAACGATAATTAAATGGTACTCCTGTCTGTTATTTAACTGTCTGTTAATGTGAAGCGGCACATTTTGCCAGTGTTGTGTTTTTGTGCTGCTGTCCGTCATGTGAACACAATCAATCGTCCTGCTGTCCTGGGAACAACTCTGCTTCATCTATATGTAGCCTGAGTTAATCCCTAAGACGTGCACTGCTGATGTCCCTGACCGCTCAGCAGTGAACGTCCTGCAGAACGAGAGGAGCTTCAGCCCCCGTCAACATGCAGATTCACAGAAACAACCCTGGAGACAGGACGCCTCCAGTCTGTGAGTACATCCCTCATCTCACAATTATCCTGGCTGAAGTTTCTGATATTTCAGAGACATTCAGGCTTTAGTTTTATCCAGTGTATGCAAAAACATTGTTAGAAATACTTTTAACGTCTCTTTTTTATAACTTTATACGCAGCATCAGACAGCATTTTTAAATGTTGTGTGTGTGCATGTGTGTGAGTCCAGTGCTTGTGTAAATATTGTGAAGTTACAAGCCTGTTAAAGCTTCCCGCTAAGTTACATAAGAGGATTTTCAGTTCTCTGTACTGTATTTTAGGTAGCAATGAGTCTCGTTCATAGGAAGCTGATTGTTTTCTACTGGCAGCCTAATGTCACAGGAAACTTCACTTTTTTATGTGTCCATTGGTAATTGTTCAGCTTCCTTCTTATTCTTAGGCTGTGCAAATCAATGTGCCCCATTGGTGTTCAGAAAATAATCTGCATGATCTGCATTATTAGGCATGCTTCTGTTACATAAAGTCCAGATACGTTATGGAAGCATGTTCTAAAAGAAAAAACACCCGAACTCATCTGTCAGTAAATCAGATTCTTAGCTATGCTGCACAGAACAACTTTTTAAAAATGTTTTTGAAGTGAATTCATCAGATCTTGGAATTAAATGTTTAATTTCTGAGTAAAGACTTTTCACCAGCACTTTTAGAAATGGCGTTATAGTGTTGGGAAAGCTGACGCAAGCCTCATTTCATTGAGCTCAAAGTAATTTAAGGTCATTTATATTTATATATATGGAAAAAATTAAGAGACCACTTTCTATAGGTATATGTTTGTTCTTCATTTCTTTTATTCTATGAACTATTGATGCATACACACACAGGTATATAATTTTTTATTTTCCATTAACCAAATTTATTTTTGTTATTTGAATTTGTGCAATTCTGTGATTAAAGGAGACATAGCTAGTCATGAGACTTTAGCACAAAAAATAAACATTTCCTGACCAATAAAAATAAAACCTGCTTCTATCCATCATTTTCTCATCCAGTTCTTCATGTTTCTCTCAGTGCAGTGATGCATCGTGTGCCCATCCCACTGAACCATTCAACCGTAAACAAGGCAGCATCGTCAGGGAAACCATGAGCTCCGACAGCGTCTTCCAACCGGAGGTGGAGTCGGACCCTCAGGGCGAGCTTGCCGACATGGTGGCGTCCATGAACACCACCGCCAACCAGCTGACCCCTCCTAACGGCTACAGGTCAGGAGCACCCAGGTCCACTGTGGGCCAAAGGGCCCGCCTCACAGACAGGAAGATGTCCCTTCAGGAGAGGGGGAGCCGCGTGGCCCGGCAGCCCACCATCGAGACCAAACGGGTTTCCATCACTGATGCCGACGTGAGGAACCTCAGACAGTTCGTCTTAAGATTCACCTGAGCTCCTCGTTTCTGAGACTAAAACTTTCCCATTTCACCTCTACAGGACTGTCTCCAGCTCAACCAGTATAAACTGAAGAAAGAGATTGGAAAGGTGACCTACCAATGTGAAACCCAGTGTTTTAATTTCTGATTCTTGAATTATAAAGCTCTTTTTATTTGTTCCCTGCAGGGCTCTTATGGAGTGGTGAAACTAGCCTATAATGAAGACTCTGAACAGTACTATGTAAGCTGAAGCTTTAAACTGCTTGAGCCTGACTGTCGTTTAATGAAATCGTCATTAATCCCTTTTCTTTTCTTTGATTAGGCCATGAAGGTAGTGTCAAAGAAGAAGCTGATGAGGCTGTGTGGATTTTTGCGTGAGTAACGTCTCATTTTGATTGTTTCAGTCCTGTGTGGTTTACGGTTCCAGTGAAAGGTTTGCATTCACATAAAATCTTCACAAAATGTTGATTTGGTGTTTTTTGTTTTTTTTTAAAGAAGTTTGAAAGCAAGAACTAGATACACCAGTTTGAATTTACTGTGAATTTTCACTAATCTACAGATGAGGTTCAAATACATAATTGCAACCCAGTTAATAAGAGGAGGAATCTCTAAGACGTTTTATTACTGGCAAGTATTCCTCCCCTTGTCTCCAAGAGAGATCTGTAACAGCACACACAGACCCTCTGTACAAAGTAAATGGTGTGGACCAAGTGGCAGGCGAGGAGAAACCCAGGTCCAGTCAAAGGCCTGCTGAAGGAAAGGTTTGCACACCAAGATTTGGCTGCATTGTCATAAAGTCTGCTTGTAGGAGTCAAAGTAATCTTTTTAAACTTAAAAGCACTTTGATACGGGCTGTTTGCTGTCAAAGTTGCCGATGCATCACACAAAGTGGATGTATTGATGTAAGGTGGCTTCTTCTTTTGTTCTTAAAATTACCTAAAATCAACAGCAAGTTGGTTTAGATTTGTTCCAACAAGCAATTATGTACCAAGAAATAGCTCCTTAAATTGCCTTCATCCAGACCGGCGCTGTGTGTTTGTACTTCCAGGTCGCCCGCCTCCTCAGGGGTCAAACTCTCAGCAGGATCTGTTCCCCAAATTCATGCAGCCTCTGGAGAGAGCATACAGAGAGATTGCCATCCTCAAGAAGCTGGACCATCCAAACGTAGTTAAACTGGTAGAGGTGCGTCAGATATGACCATAATAACAAGTAGCAGAGCAACGCGTCCACGTACTTCAGCCAAAAACATTTAATGGACTCCTTTCAAGATCAGAAATAATATTTGTTTAAATAGCTTAAAAAATAAACCTAAACAAACACAAGGTAGCAGTGTTGATGTATCTTGCAGGTGCTTGATGACCCTGATGAAGATGGACTTCACATGGGTAGGGAATCATTCACCTTTTCTGCTGCAGCATGATAAAAGAAAACAAAGTTAATTGATCATTAAATTCAAATTATTTTCTCTTTAAGCCTTCGAACTAATGAAAGAGGGGTATGTTTTACATACTAATCCATCACTTTGATATGTTAGATGGCAGGAGTGGCAGTAAAATGTTTGTGTGGTTTTTGCTTCTTTGCCCCTCAGGCCGGTGATAGAGGTGCCCACAGACAACCCGTTAACCGAGGACCAGGCTCGCTTCTACTTCAGAGACGTCGTCCTGGGAATAGAGTACTGTGAGTACAGCACTGGACGTGTGAATAATCTGAATGTGATTTATGTCTTGGGAACAAAGTTGTTATTTATATCGGTTGTAAGAAACTTGAATCTCACAAAACAGCAACGTCACATACTTCAACAAAACTAGAATCCCATTGATGCCATCAAGAGCAGCCTGAACCCAAGTGAGGCTAGCGTGAGCTCAGCAAATAAAGGAGATGGAGAGACGCTGTCCAAGCAGCCTGAGCTTGATTTTACTGATACAGAACAGCCATGACCTCCAATGTC